AATCTATTAAGCCCTAATCCCGAAATTTCCATTTTGACCGTTTGCATGAACAAGCAAAAGCCAAGTTAAGTATATCAAATTCAATCCTTATTTTGTTTGGGCAACCTAAGCATGGGTCTGGATTTGTATTTCTTGCTGACTCACACGAACAACGTATTTATCCGAAGATTCAATATACCTAAACTTTATGTCATAATAAAACACCATATACTGTTTAGCCTAGATGGTTTAAATTCAATTCTGCCAGACTTATCGACAATTAATTCACACCAGCTTAAGCTGGAGTACAAGCTGTGGTAGCCAACTCATTTATTGATCCTCTCAAGCTTGAAGATTGAAAGAACAGATAAGATCAAAGACTTATCTATTAAAGTAAGTTATTTCTATCATCTTAGTGAGCATAATCAAGATGAAAATAAGCATAAAGAGTTTGAATTCTGAGAATTAAATCGTCATTCTCATATTTAAGAGAAGTACAATATTACACTTTTAACAGTCGTAATAGATAGAGTGGAAAAGGTGATGCTAATACCTTGCCATAGTTTGCAAAATTTGTTTTGAGAACATATTCGACAATTGCAGGATCTGCAGTGTAGACTTCGCTATTGCCAAGGTAAAGCAATCTGAAAGTGATATTTTTTTGCGTCAATTCAGTCATGTAATCGTACAACCTGCGGAAATTAAGCAGCAGATGCAACACTGTTCCAGCAATTGGATAATATTTCTTCTTCTCCTTCTTTGATGATCCTAAGATTTTCTTGACTGCACATAGTGCTAGAATTGCAGCAAAAATTAAGACTAACAAGGAGTTATTCAGAGTGCGTATGTCCATGGCAGTCCTCTCTGTGTGTATAATGGTCGTAGTTTCATATATATATATATATATATATATATATATATATAGAGAGAGAGAGAGAGAGAGAGAGAGAGGAAAAACCAAATGAATTTGAAAGACACAGTAAGAGCGATTTTTTTTTTTTTTTTTTTTCTGTAGTTTTCTTGAGATATTTGTTTTTAATTGTGATCTATTGAGTCAGAAGGTCCACTAGGTGATAAAATGAAATTTTTTCCCTTATTTGTTCCTTCGATCTTTTCTCCAACTTGTGAAGAGAAAATTGCATCTTTGGTCCTTAACATGCGATCTTTTTAGCAAGTTAGTACCAATTTTGCTCTTGAAACTTTTGATGTCATTCCATGAGAATCTTAATGAACGAGAAACCGATCAACTATTCATTATAAATGTCAAGTGCATTGCATGTGTAGCAATGTTTGAAGGTGATAGTAAACCCTAATAATCTTGATTAGAGATAACGATATAGAAAACAGAAAGAAATATAAAATTTTAAAGGAAAAATTATGCATCTTGTCCTTCACCGATCCCGAACCTCTTGACCAATTGTTCCCCCAACCCTTATTACCGACCACTCCCACATCCCACCCCACACTACATCAACGTAATCCATCTCAATCGCCTCCATTCACCCATCCTCCTAAACTTGTCCCCACTTTCCTTCTTTTCTTTTCTTTTATACTTTTAAATTAAACAAAAAATTTAATTGAGACATGTTTCTATGTTCACATAATACTTTAACCAAAATTTGGACCATTTTCATTGTTATGAACTAATTGTGCCTAAAATCAAAGCGGTTAAGGATGACTTGCACTTTTTTAAAGTTCAAGAACCAACTTACAACCTGAAAAATTAGTTTGAGACCAATGGTGCAATTTTCCCATTATAGAAATATCATGTTTGGCTAATCTTAAAATCTTTATTAAAATAACTTCCAAAATAAATTATTATATATATAGGCTTTAAAGTAAAGGAAAAAATAACTTATTTTTTACATGTTTACGAATAAAATTCACTTAAAAATGAACATTTACCTATTTCTAAACTTAGCCAAAACATGCTCTAGTAATGTAGTTTTTCTTTATTCTAAATTGGCTCAAAAAGTGGGTCCACCACTAGATATGATGAATTTCCTAGTTCGTTAACAATTTGTTTGGGAGTGATTTTTTCCCCCAAAAAAATTGATTTTTTTATTGTTATTTCACTATTCCAACCTTCATATTTGACTTTTTCTCTCATAGGTGGATCCCACTTTATTCTTAATAGTCAAAAAATCAATTATCAAAATCATTCCCAAACAGACTCTAAATCTTTTATCCCACTTCTAGAATCCGACGGCAGTTGTTGAAAAGTAAAGGAAGGTTTCTGCACTCAAGAAAGATTTGGGTCAATAAAATGCAACTGATGAGCCAGGATGATGAATATATTTGGAAAAATATAGCAAAATGACAAAGACTTGAAGTGCCACTGTGAATAAATCATTTTCTCTGTAAACGTAAATTCACTTACGTAAACCCCGCGCCTAAGTTCTGAGAAACAACTAACTAGATATTTTTCATATTTGTTCTATTTTCCTGACTTTTTCCAACTTATCTACGTGGCAAAAGAAAAAATTGTTAATTTTACAAAATATGACCATTCAAAAGGTTTAAGTCCAACTTGATACAATTAGACTTAACCACTCTATCGAGCACAGTTGATAAGTGTATTTCATACACTTATTTAGATATAAAAATATAAACATTTAATAGTTCACTTGAACAATTATAGTCTAATTTAATGTATATTTCATTTATTAGGTGAAACTCGATGAATGGAAGTGAAATTAAAAGAAAGAAGTGAAAATTGGCAAAAATGGCAAGATCCAAAGTTTATGGACTAAAGTGTAAATATTCAAAAGTTGTGTTGGACCTCACGATAACGTTTCAAGAATGCTAGAGATCAATAGGATGCAATTAAAAGTCAAATGGAATGAAGTATAACCAAAATATATTCACAAATCAATTTTCAACTGTACAAGGGCGTTCCAGATTTTCAGCCAGAGATTGGGATCCACTTTTCGCACAGAAAAAGTTTGAATTGGAAAAGAGTTATTTCTAATAAAATTGTAGCCCTTTGAGTTGTCTTTAAGACCCAATTTGAATCGTCTCAATCGGATATCGGAAGAGAAAATTATGATAAAAATATTAAAGGAAGTGCAATATAGAAAGTTTCCCAAGAAATAGTGCCTAGGCGCCGCCACCACTCTATCTTCGTGGTGTCACCTGATGAGAATTAGGGTGCGATTTTGTCCCTTTTAAAGTGTTCGCAGTGCCACTACATGCCTCATCAAATAGAAGTTTGAAAAATCACATTAAATCGAAAAAAAAAATCACAGCATATAATTCTTTGTTTGCTTTCATCAAATAGAAGTTAGAAAAATCATATTAAATCCTATAGTATAGTTCCCGTGGGAACATTAATCTGAACTCAAAGGCCCACTATATTACTGGTTACAAAAATCGTATATTTGCAATAGAAAAACTCAACAACAGTCCCAACCCATGCGCTCCTAAGAGCAAGAACTCAATTTTAAAAGTTCTGCTCAAGAATAAAGGTACAAAAAAATAACATAATAGAGGTCAATCCGTGCCCGTAGGAAAAAGTTAAAATTAGAAAAGGTCCTGGCATGTGAAGAACATGACAAATTGTAACTGCCAATATTAAATAAAATCCTATCAAAACATGCAGTATGATATGATATAGATGATAACAGAAAGGGCCTATACGACTTTTTATTAGAATAAGGCTTCTTGTACATTATTTGCTTGACATGGAGTTTGACATTCCATTGTTTTCAAATGTTTTCAAAAATGGAATTGACGGGAAAGTGTGTTTTTTTTTCAAAAGTTGTCTGATATGATGTCCCCACGTGGCACAATGTAAAACTTAATATCAAACTTCATGTACTTGTAGCATGATTCTTTTTATTATCCTTCTATCTATTTTATTGGTATTGTTTAATGCACGAACATTCATGATATATTTAGTATACTAAATTGAATAAATCAGACAAGATTAAGAAAGAGAGATGTTTAATCTAAAGACAAAATATACATCTTCAAGTTTATATTGAAGAATCGAGGAAAGGCTCAGTTTTTACAAGTTCTGCTCAGTCATGGGATTCGAATCTTCACAGGTAATTTTCTTTTTTTGATGGACGTGAATAAGAAAGAAATAATAGATTAAAAGTCACAAAAATAGTTGAAAGAAGTATGCTTTTGAGTCATATGGGCCCCTGTTTGGTTTAGTTTACAAAATTGATAAAAAAAAAAATTAAGTTAGCAATTAATTTTAATCATATATTTTATGGGACCCACAATTTTTATCAACTTTCCAATCAAACATTTTTACAAAAATTTAATAAAAATATAATTTTTCGCAAAATCAATCAAGGGCAAAAACAACTACGTCATATGATCCACTAGAAATAAGACCTCTATTCTACTTTCCAAGTCCCCTCTCTTTCTTGAAGTCAAATTCGAATGTCTTATTTCCCCTTATTAGTTAAGCTTGCATATCCATGTTAGAATATTTTCTAAATTTTCTGATCTTGATTAATAGAAAATGTCCACAGAAAAAAAAAAAGTTACAATTTAGAAAATAGAGATAAGAGCATTTGAGAGTCCTGCTTTTCTAAAAGGTTCAGAAAATCATATTAAGCAAAATAAGTTTGATTTACTTTTAGAAAACCAAACGTGATCTTGGTAACACTATTTATATACTATCCTAGTTGATGATTCTTTCACAAAAAGGTATCTATATATTTCCTGCCATGAGAAATCCCTAGTCATTATGTTTTGTCAGTGGGTATATCTAATTTCATCTAGTTCATGTGCAGCTTACTCCTCAACAAGCCCCATTAAAAGGTCCTTTTTTTGGCTGCCCTATACTTGTTTCTTGATTCTCTCTCGTTTCATTTGTAATTAACGCGCAATAGTTTCATCCGTTTGTGGTGTACAAAATGATTGCATTGTATAATGTTAATCGTGTCACTTGACTTGTGTTATTCACAATTTAGTTGTTGTAACGTTGAATGAATCTAGCATGTGTATGCCTATACATAACCCTGATGAGAAGGCATTTGATACTTTTTAGGGAAACAATAAAATTTGAGAAACCTGATGGATATGGTCTATTAAATTTTGAAAAAACCTGTAAACTTAGTTTTAAGAAGTATGTTGGGTTGAAGAATAATTGCTGACCTCAAAGGCGCAATGAATTTGATAGATGTTTTAGCCTGGAAAACACCATTTTCGAGCCATATTTCCACACAGAATTCTCTCCCCGAATGCATGTCATCGTTACCATTGCATAGCACTTATAGTTCACACCATCTCTTTTCTCTATTCTGTAACCATCCTGTAAAATGCCGTCTCTGTTTGAACTCTTGCAATTCTGCAGTATCAGAGATGAACAAACTCCTGAGCAAATCCTTACATATTAAAATTTGACGTATCAATGGCTGCTTTTATCAATCAGTGTACTATTGTCAAAGGCTGTCATTTACACAGTTTAACCTTGAACCAAGTAAACTTCAATTTCTGAAAGTTGCAGAGCAGCTAGATTGTCCAACTGGGCCTCAAAAGTGCACATGGCCTGATGGTTCAAATGTTTCAGATGGTCATATGTCACATGTCAAACAAATGGGACATTTACCTCACAGCCAAACAAGTATCTTCATGTTGCCCCCCAGGGCACTTCTCCATTGGCAAAGGACGGACGCTGTCAAACTTTACAGAGCAGAGGTCGTGAGTTCGAAACATGGGGCTCTTGGAAGGCAAGGATTTATTCTTGGAAGGCAAGGGAACATTTGGAAGGCAAGGATTTATTCTTGGAAGGCAAGTGGGAACTTGGAAGGCAAGGATTATTCTTGGAAGGCAAGGTGCAACTTGGATTGGCTTGCTTGACACTTTGTCAGACCAGGTGGGGAGCGCTCGGACCCTGGCCAGTCGGAGGCACATCCTGCGATTAACCGGACTGTGTGAAGAGGGGCCGGATCACAGACCCAAGGATTAGTCAAGAATTGGACACCTTGTAAAAAAAAAAAAAAAGTATCTTCATGTCACCAAAAAATTTATTTTCCCTCTGATTATGTGATGAAAATATTCATATTATCTTGCCTATTCATCTCAAGACTTAATACCATCAATACATTCTTTATAGCTTCCATAATCGGGACTTCAGGTGATCCTTTCATCGAGAATTCATGGACAATACCATCAACTTCAATCATGCTGCATCCTGGAACTGGCTTCCTTATCTCTTTGTCTTTCATCAAAGCTCTTATTCTCTTCAGATCATCAAATCTACCAGCTTTGGCATATACATCACACAAATTGATATAAAAAGCATGGTTTTGAGGTTCCAAACAAATCAAGTTTTCAGCAATTTTTTCTCCTAGCTCGACATTTCCATGCAATTGACATCCTCCAAGTAGTGCACCCCAAACAAAAACATCCGGCTCCATGGGCATACCCCTGATAAGGTCTTCAGCCTCAACAAACTGCCCAGCTCGGGCAAGTATGTCAACCATACAAGCATAATGTTGCACCTGCGGCTCAATACCATAAACACGCCTCATTGTGTCAAAACACCAGCGACCTTTCTCCACCAGGCCCGCGTGAGCACAGGCAGACAATAACCCAACAAATGTCACAGAATTAGGCCGTACACCAACAGCTTCCATATTTGCAAAAAGCTTAAATGCTTCCTCCCCGTGCCCATGAAGTGCAAATGCTGAAATCATAGCTGTCCATGCCAAAACATCCTTCTTAGGCATCCCATTGAAAACCTCAAACGCTCTTTCAACACACCCACACTTCCCATACATGTCCACCAAAGCCGTCCCAATCACCATATCACATTCCATCCGACTTCTCTCCAAGTAACTATGCAACCACCTACCATGATCGCCGGCACCAAGAGAAGCACATGCAGAAAGTACACTAGCCACCGTAATTTTATCCGGCCTATCCATATCCCTATCATCACTGAAAATCTGCATGTCTTGGAAAAATCCTAAAGCCTCCTTCGGCCTACCCCCTTGAACAAAGCCCGTGATCATTGAATTCCAAGTAATGATGTCTTTCCTGTCCTTCATTTCCTTGAACAAATCTAATGCGACATCAAGCTCTCCACCTCTCAAATATCCCACAATCATCGAATTCCAAGAAACAATATCCCTATTTGACATTTCATCAAACACCCTCCTCGCATCATCCAAAAACCTGCCCTCCGAATACAGACTTATCAAAGCGTTTTGCACATAAACATCGGCTTCATACCCAAACTTCACTGCATGCGCATGGATGCTTCGACCCATTAAGCCATCAACCCTCTTGGCACATTCTTTTAATACAAAAGGGATGGTAATACTATCAGGAGACAGATTATTACACAACATCTCTTTATATAAAATTAAGGACTCGCACGAAAAAGGGTCCTTAATTTTCGTTGAACTTGCTCTAATCATGGCATTGTATGCAAAAAGACTTGGCTCGGCAATGCGTCTGAACACTTTGACCGCATACTTGAGACCGTCAGGTGATTCATTGACTGTACAGAGGAAGAAGAGGAGGCGAGAGATGAGAAAATAATGATCATTTGGAGATAAATTTGGGGATGTAATGATGTGGGAATGGATTTGTTTAATCACCCTGATGCTCTTGCAATTGTGTATAGACCGTGCAAGTATGTCCTTGAAATTTAGCCGCATGGATTCGATCATTCTTCGTTTAATTTGGTTTATTGGCGGGAGATCTTTAGAATGTAAAGGGAGCCAACTCGTCTGATTCGGTTGATCAACTTATTAGCCTTGTTTCAAGCTCTAATTTTTTTTTTTTTTTTTTTTTTTTTGGGGTTGAAAAATAAAAATTT